TGAAGAGTGGCTGGCAAATGTAATGACTGAACCTTAATTATTACTGTGTATAAGCCCAAAATCCCAATGAACATTTATTGAATGCTTATAAAGCCTAACCATTATTGAAAGTCTCTTACCTGAGTACCAGTTGACCCTTCCAAACCTCAGTAAGGTGAGTAGTCTGAATCACTTTAATAGACAAGGAAATGGAGACTAGAGGTCCGAAATCACAGCCACGAGGCAGAGCAGATGAGCTGAGTGAGTCAAGCCCGCTGCCTCTGGTACCACTCACGGGTTCCAAGCCCACAAGCAAGCATCGGTGTTGCTCTGGGGGTGGGAGTTCTTCCCTCAGTAATGTGGTCTCTCCTGTTGGTGTCCTACAGTGCTCCTTCCAATCCCACAGGAAGAAACTAGAACTTTTCCATGCACCAGGAAGCTGGAGCTCTACCCTCTGCTCATTTCTGATTTGATTTCTCCAGCCTGTCTGTCTTCCAATCTGTGCTGTATTGTGTCTTGGATTCCCTTTCATCTGAAACTGCCCCAATCTGCAGGGGTTTTCTGAATTTGCTCTGAATTTTCTTATGGCAACTGTTGCTTAAGCTTTTACCTGGTCCCTGCTGCTATTCCTCAGGGTGTCATATTGTTCCTGCCAAATGAATTGCATCCTCTTGGAGCTCAGGGTCTGCTATGATCCAAGGTTCAAGACCACCCGGATCTTTCACAGGTCTTGGTCACTCTTAGGTGGCCTGTTTGGTAGTTCCTAACTGGGAAAGCTCATGTATGTCTCACGAAAGGCATAACTGAAATGAAGCCCATGTCTCCTGACTACATTCTTTGTTGCACATGGTGTTGAAGGATGATGGCTAGAGCTCGTTGTTTTAGTGTAGACTGTTTTGATGAAGATAGGAACTGAAATCCATGACTTGAGGCTCCAGAAAGGTCCTTTTGCTCAACATAATAAAGGAAGCTGGCAGTCCAAGGACTGTTCCACATTCCCCTTAAAAACAGAAAACTCACATACCAATGGTGATTTATAGGATAAAAGGTCAGAAAAGCAAGAGCTAGGACTTGAAACTGAATTGAATGAAACACACTAAATGCTGAAGACAGTTCAAAGGACAAGTGGGAGCCCAACAGTCTCTCTATTATCGTAGTTCTTTGTAATTCACCTCTCTCAGATGTGTGGTGTGGAGGGTGGTGAGGGTCAGGTAAGGTTTAAGGGTCCGTGGCCGGTGAGACAGACTCGGATGCTTTCTCTTTCACCACTGTCCATCCCCGCATCATCTTAGCTATAGAAAAATCTACCCAGGCTGTTAGAGTTTGCCGAGTCCCTTTGTTGAAGACAAATGATAGTTTGTTTTTTTGATAATAGATGAAAATATGTTATGAGGTTATGACACTGTCATGACACATTGCTGGTGACACTGTATAGCTGTGTTACTGTGTCTTTTTTTTTTTGGTACTGGAGATCGAAGTACGGACCTTGCGCTTGCAAAGCAGGTGGTAACACCACTGAGCTAAATCCTCAGCCCTAGCTGTGTTATGTTCTGACTTTTGTATATATTGTCCTGTCTTTGGGTTGGACCCTTTTCTCTCTTTATGACGCATCTACAGCTTCTCTCTGTTTCTCTTTGTATGATGCTTCTTTCTGGTATTTTTGAGTGCTAGTTATGTATCAAGGACAACCAATTTATGAATGAGTGTTTTTATCTCCCATTTAATAGATGAGAAAACTGAGCCTTTAGGGAAGTTAATAATTCTCCCAAGGTAATCTCTGTAAAAAATTCATACCCAGATGTACGCCTTCAGAACCCAAGTTTTAACCACTATGTAAGCTGCTGCCAGCTCATCTGTTTACTCATGTATCCAGCAAAATGAACAAAACTGATACAGCCTCAGCCCACATGGAGTTTACCTTCTACTGGGGAAGGATGACAATAAAGAAGCCTATACATATGTAACATCATCCCAGGAAGTTATAAATACAGTGAAGAGAAATAACATGGAGGATAGAGAATGATTTACTATCTTTATTTTTTGGCATTGGGTATTGAACCTAGATTCTGAGCACTGAGATACTTCCCCACCCCTTTTTTGTTTTTTTTAAATTTTGAGACAGGGTCTTGTTAAATCACTGAGTTGCCCGGGCTGGGCTCCAGTGTGCAATTCTCCTGCCTCAGCCTCCCAGAGTGCTGGGATTACAGGCAAGGGAGTTACCATTTTAAATGGTAGAGCAAAAGGAGCTTCTCTGAGGAGGGAACACCTGAGTAATTGATAATGTTTTCCGCGCCACAAAAAAATGATCTCTTTTTGAAGGCAGTGCTTGGTTTTTTAATGTTTCTCCAACAAGTTTTTGGATTTACAATACCCAAAAGTAGACTGCATGATGAAAAGAGAAATAGGATCATGAACACTGAACAATAGCTAGAAACTCACATCTGACATAGGGAACAAGGAATGAGAGTATCTGCCTGGGGTGCCCGTGGTGAGGAGATTGCCTCTTGATCCCTTGCTTTTCAAGGCCCAGGGCAAGAAATACACACTGTCCCCTTGTTACTGTGTCAGCTGTGGCTTTCACTTTTGTTGGTTAAATATACTTCAGTCCACGACCCACAGCAGGAAGCCTTGGGTGGCTTACTTTTCCTCCAGGAATTTTACAAATAGGAAGGATCACATCTGTCTCCTACAGCAACGAAGATCTTTCTAAAAAAATTTCTTAGTGTGTATTTGCAGTGCAAGGCGATTCCATGCATCCTGGGGAGTGGGTACATGTGCCTAACACATCTACATTCTTTTTTGCTCCCCTCCCCCCTCTTCTTCCTCCCTGCTCCTTTTACACCTTGGTCTCCTTATTTGCAAAACTTCTTTCTCCATTTTTCCAATTCTCTTTTTGTCCTTTTCCCCTCCCTTCCTTCTGTGTTCCCTTCTCCATCTATCTCTTGTTTTCCTTCCCATTTGAAAAAGATCTACCTACTTCCTATATCTACCTTTTGTTTTGGTCTTTATTTATATTTTGGGTTTTTTGTATGAGAGAAACCATGAAGATCTAAGCTTGTGTGTCTGATTTTTGCACTTAATATTTTGTTTTCAAGGTGCATCCATTTACCTACAAATTATTCAAGTTTACCCTTCTTTGTGGCAGAGTAGTACTCCATTGGGTGTAAATACCACATTTTCTTGTTCCATTCATCTATTAATGGCCATACCGGGCCCTTCCAAGATTTGTCTGTTAAAAATTGTGCTGCTGTAAACATGGGTATGCATGCATCACTGTAATATAATGTCTTTCACTCTTTCAGGAAGATACCTAGAATGGGAATTTTTATTTTAGTTTTGAGGAATCTCAATACTGATTTCCATAGTGGCTATACCAGCTTAAATTCCCCCAGCAATGAAGAAGGGTTGCTTTTTCCTAGCCAAGAATCTATGTCAAGCCCTTACTCTCTCTGCATCTTGCCTGCTCTGACTTCCCTTCACCCAGTCACATGTTAGGGTAACACAGAAAATGCTAAGGTGAAGCTAGCCTGTGGCCCAGTGCCACACAATCAATCCCTTCCCCAAATGGCACCTGATTTGACTCTCTCCGGCCATATTCAGATGTTGCACTAGTTTCTTCTCCATCTCTAACCTGCCATGGAAAAGTCACTTGCAGGGTAAAACTCCATGCTGTTGTTTATAGTAGCTGTGGGCTTTCCTTGGGGGCTAGGGTGATGGCCCATGTGCTGTTTCCCCCTGAAGCTACTGACTCCTCTGAGCCTGTCTTCTCTCTTAGGGGCTGGCATCATCCTCCATCGAGTCAGTTGGTTGACTGTCACCTCTGCCCCTGTGCCGAGGGGCACCAAGATACAGAGCCGGCTGGAGCTGGCTGCTTCACTGGAATCCACAGTATGGAGTGGCTGGGGGTGGCCACACGAGCCGCTGCCCCTCCTGTTGGGCTGCACCAAAGATCTTGCAAGCCAAAATGATCAGAAGAGGATGGAGTTCTGAAACCATACTTAAGTCAGGTTCAGGTCCATAATTTCTTCACCTCACATCAGCTCCTAAAAAGGATTGTATTCTCCTAGTAAATGAAAAATAAGGGGGAAACAGAGGCTCTTTGAGTTTTCTGGTGATTGGAAGGAGGGTGTGGATATTTATTCAGAGTTTATTTATATTGTTTGTCTTACAGTCTTAGTATACCACCGACAAATAACCAACTCCCTTCCAAATCAACGAGAAAGCTGAAGGCTGAGTTATTGGCAGTTTTTATTTAATTAAACTGTTTTGCATTTCAGTATCAATATTTTGAATTTTATACCAAGTCTCTCAGTCTCCCAACAGGCCCACAGTGAACTGGAGACAGCACACATGGGGACACATGGTAAGGATGGAGCTGAAAGCGGAGGGGTGACACCCGACGCTTGCCCTTCCCAGACCTGCTGAACTTTCATGTGGCAGCGGCAGGTCAGATGTTGCTAATATTTAGAACACGCTTTTAAATATTCTAATCGGTCTCCAAGTTCGACCTTTCCCCTTCCTTTCTCCCTTCTCCACATCTCTGCTTAACTGCCCACAGTGCAAACACTGCACCAACGAAGCCCGGTCAGATGCCAGACAGGGCTGTCTCAGGCTCTAAAATTACCCACCCAATGTGCCATTGATTAAAACCATCCCTTGGAGTCCTTCCAGAAGCCCGACTCGGAGAACTAGAAAGAAGTATGTGATTCTCTTTATAGACTGACATGTAAATTATGAATTTGACTTTTAATGAAAGGCATTTTAATATTTTATTTCACAGTCTGGTAAGAAATAACTTCAGAATGGGAAGTAGGTATGGCTCCCTTCCATGCCAGGCACCATTCACCAGTCTCTGCCCTCCCTGTCTTGGGTCTGGGCCTGCTCTCAGAGCAATATGGCGCTCCAAGTCACCACTGCCCATTGGTCAGAGTAGCCCTGCAAATTGGCATCTTTGTACTCTATGGTGTTCTGTTTAACTTACTACATATACAGTAGCAGAAAACCAAGGCATGATATACCTTACAAATAACATATTTAAAATTAACGGGAGCACTGAATTTGCATAAATGAGAATGTATAGTCATCTTTGCTTAGGGAAACCAGTCTTAAAATGTAGTTTTTAGTTAAAACCTATGCATTAGAACAGATTTTAGTGAAAATTTTAATGTTGAGCATTCTCATTGTATGGATTTCAGAAAATGTAATCTGACTAGATTTGGAGTTTGGCAAAGGCAATGGGTTGCTCTAACTTACAAAAAGGATTTTTATTTAAAAGCCTGGGGGATGTGTGGAGAAAGACATGAGGTATAAATTGAGTCAGTTCTTTCCCTCCTATGCCCCACCCACAAATAAAACAGTTGCATTTAATATTTATGGCCATAAAATATGCCTTGCATATGGGGAGAGTCTTCACTCATGGGTTTTATTTGTGTCAAATTATATTTTGAGGTTTTTCTGAAGAAGGCAGAAATGGGAAAATTGAAATGGATTTTGAAGTCAAAGCTCTCTTTGTAATCCTTGGTCGTGTCAGTGGTACTTGCCTGAAGAAATCTGGGAAAATAATTTACCATCTCAGAGTCTTGGTTTCCTCAGGAAAACGGCTGGCAGCAATAAAAAAGGCAATAATATTTATTTTTTCATGGCTTTTTTGAGGATTAAATGAGTGAACTTTTCTGGCAACAGTTGAAAACTGTAAAGCACTGACAAATATGGGAAATTTTTGGTAAATGATAAGTAAAACACTTTTAAAAATCCAAAGCACACAGTATTTATTGCTATCCAGCAAGACTGTTACGAGTATTTTTAAAAATGTTAAACTAAAGCCTTAAAATACAGAGCTTTCCATATTTTGTTTCATATAGAGACAATATTATTAAATTCAGGTGATGTGTTGTAATACTTGTTTCCTTTGAATTTCTTGGCTGTGATAACATTATACGGTAACCGATGTGGACTCAGGAACACTTCTAGTTGCTGTTTATTGTGAGGATGGTGTGACCACTATTGCTTTTGGTCTACACGTAAGATGAGCACAGGCCACAGCCTGTGAACTTCAGAAAACTAAGCAGTGCCTTATCTCTATGTTCTGCTAAAATTAAATTTGTATTTCAACTTGGTGCTTTTGTGGTTCAGTCGTAGCCAAATAGACTTCAATCTGTTTATTTACTGTTTTGTCCAGGGCAGTGGGCTGAATTGACTGAAGACTCATGGTCCTCCCACAGATGAACTGGGTCCCTCACGGGGTTCTTTCTCCATTCTTTTCTCAGTAGAATATTTGTTAACACAACTGACTTTCACTGTTTGTTCCAGTGAAAGTAGAGCTCAGGTGCAGATTATATGATGTGAACAAAATGTACTGGGAGGTACACAGTAATAGCATTGAAAAGGCACTTAGACTTTTAAAGGGATCTTCAGCAAAACATCCCCTGAGAACTAAGGAGAAGCTGCCCTCCTGAATTCCCACCCAGGTCTCCAGTGTTTTGCTGATGGGTCCTGACTCAGTCCATGTTTTTCAGAGATGTCATGTTTATTTCTTGTGCATTTGGGGTGTTTTACCAGTGCGCACCGTGCCTGTAGTCTTTAACCACCTGGGCCATTAGATCATAGATGGTACTGCCCTGGAGGGACCCTGAGGCTTTTGGGGGTTGTAGTCTACTACGTCCTAGTCTGTGGCTGTAGTAGTCCAGGGTTCCATTGGATTATACTGTTTTAAGAAGACAAGGAAGCGTTTTCAGTCTTTATCCTCTACCATAGATACTTCCTGGGATCAAATCATCGGACTTGCTGCCATCAGGACTGTCTTCAAGGCTCCCTGTCACTTACAAAGGAATTGAGCATTCCTGGATGACCCAGCCTTGACACCTGTCTTCAGTTCCCCGAATGCTGATGCTAGGCTCCAGCTTGTTGTTGACATAGATTAATAGATAATGGTTAAGCTAATGGAACTATTGTTTTAGTGCTTTTGGACTTTGAGTTTTTGATTCTTAAAACACAGGAGAAAATTGAATTGAGAAGTGCTGCAATGAGCATTTTCTTTTGCCTTTTCTTCAGTATAGCCTTCTCTCTTCTCTCACTGCATGATGGGAATGGAAAACATTAATCCCCATGCTGATGGAAAATGGCATCCTGGAGTACTGCTGCCCCTCAGAATACTGCTTGGATTTACATCTTCCTACAGCAAAGAAGCAACTGATTTAGACAGTATCAATTTATTTTTATTTTATTTTAAGAACTTTCTCAAATGGGAAGGGGATCAAGACATGGAGGGAGGGAAAGGGAAGAAAGAGAAGGGATAAAAAAGGAACTAAGATGTGTTATTTATGTGCATGTACCAGTCCCACACAAAGAATGTAAACATTTTGGACTGCAAACACGTATGGATAAAACAAAACAAAACAAAAAACCAGATTGAAACAAAATAAATAAATGTTTACTATTTACAAAGTGTACATATCCAAGTAACTACTCCCTCATGGCCTCCAAAACCATTAGCTAAGCATAAAAATAGCAATAGAAATTTGATTTGAAGGTCTGAGTCTATGTGGAAAATCCTGTTACAAATTCAGGAGAGGCAGAGGTCAAACATTCAGAACAGGTGGTAAACTGTCATTACATCCTGCCCAGAGGACAGCACAACTCTGCATCTTGAAAACATTGTGCTCAGCTGCCCAGGTCTTTTTGATAACCCCAAACTTGCCAAGTAATTTCTGCATCAAGGCAAGTCGATTTCCCGCTCTTCTTTTCCCTGGAATTCTTTCCACTCAGCTATTTCTCGGCATAACTTCTTCTCATTTCTTTTTCTGGCTTCTGTTCAAATACCATTTTAGTAAGTCAGCTACCTCTGAGCACCTATGTAAAATAGCATCTTCCTGTCATCCCCAGCCATACTCTTTCCCCCTTACTCTGTTAATGTTTTTGGAATGGATCTCCACCTGCCATGTTATGAGCGTGTTGGTTTGTTGATTTGCAATCTCCGCCCTCTAAAATGCATTTCTTTGGCTTTCTGCTGAAGTCTAAGAGTCTAGATCAGCACTTGCCCCTTCACAGACACCAAGTAATATTTGAGGCACAAATGAATGAATGCAGCCGGAAGCGCCCACCCTTAGTTCTAGGTCGGACATGTCCTTAATTAATAGACGTTTATGGAGTGCCATTTTCTGATCACCTTTTATATAATATCCTTTTCTCTTTATAAGCATCTTATAATATGACTTTTATCCCCAATTGAGAGTTGAGGAAACAGCTCAGAGAGCTCTAAGGAAGTGGACAAGGGCATGGTTATGACGAGAGAAGCCATGCCATTGAGTCGCATTGAAAGCTGAGATTTATGCCACTGCACTGGGCTACCTCCCACAGTAAGAGCAAAACAGTGGAATGTTGCACTAATTACTAAGCAAAGATCAGCTTAATGAGCACTAGCTAATTGCTAGTTTAGCTAACTAGCTAACTAATTAAGACCTGACTGTGAATTCTACCATTGCCCCTGAAAAGGACAAGGAATCAAGCCAGTTCTTTCTCACTCTCTTTTAAAAACTGAGTATATTTGGTATAATTTATATATAATAAAGTACACTAATCTTTATTGTTTGAATAAATGAAGACACATTTATAAACTATTTTATAAAAGATATAAAATATTTCCATTACCCCAAAAGATTATTGCTTACAATATCACAGACATATCCCCAAGCCTGGGGCTACTATGACAGATCTCTGTAGGTCAGCATATATTTTCTAGAACTTTCTATAAATAGAATCTGCATCGCTCTGCCAAGCATTAATGCTTTTGAGATTCATTTACATTCTTGTGTGTTCCTGCAGTTCACTGGTTTTTATTGCTGGCATACGTTCCATTGTATGAAATTTATTTATATATTCTCCTGTTGATGTACAGTTGATTGTTTCCAGTTAGAGCTATTCTTAATAAAACTTCTATAAACATTTGTATGCAAACCTTTGCATGGACATAAGTTTTTATTTCTCTTGAATAAATAGTGAAGAATGGAATTACTAGGTTACCCATGTTAACATGGTAAGTCTATGCTTAACCTTATTTAAAAATCTGCCAAAATATTTTCAAAAGTAGTTGTACCATTGAGACAATTTTTAGGGTTGGGGTGCTCATTTGCAAGACAAAAGTGTTTGACTAAATGATCTCTAAATTCCTTTCCCATATTTTGTGGCTCTGGGGTTTAATGTGTTAGATTTCTCACACCTGTCTGCCCTGAGCTACTCGACTTTATTCTTCCTCACTTTTCTTTTCATATCTTCATTTTTATACCTTTATCTTGTTTGCCCTAATGTCAGTGCTACTGCTGTTGTTGCTGATGATAGGAAGCTATTTGTGTCAAACACGGTGCTAAATGTTTTACCTGAATTTTCTCATTTATTCCTCACTGTAAGCATTGGTAGTACTCTTTTCATAAACTATCTTTGTGATGAAGAAGGAAGCTCAGAGGGGCTGGGAGAGAGGCCTGGCAAGGCAATGAGTGGTTGCAGAGGAGGGAGCCTGGGCTAGCAGGGTAGGGAGGAAAAGAAAGGAGAGGAGAGGAGAGGAGAGGAGAGGAGAGGAGAAGAGAAGAAGAACCTCAGAGAAGTTAACTAACTTCCCTGAGTCAATGAAACTATTAAATGGTAGAGTTGGGAAGCAAAATTAGGTCTGCCTGGATCATTTCTACCTTCTTTATTTCCCAACCTTTACTCTGGTATTCAAGTCCTATTTTTTCATCTTTTTGGAGCAGATATGTTTCCTCGCCTGCTGTCTGGAGCTACTTCACCTTCTCAGTGCTGTTCGCCAGTTTTTCTTGCATATACTGGCACAATATCAATGTTCAATGACCCAGCAACTTCCCAAAAGGAAAAAAAGTGATTCAGTGAGTGAGGCAAGCTTAAGATCATCTTACTTATGTTAGCTCCATTAAGTTTTCATTAACAATCAGAACGGGGTTTCTCAAATCAGCATAATGGCATTGCTTTCATAAAAGCAATGCTTAACCAACAAGATATATTGTCTACCTTTTACATGAATCCAGAGTCCAGTCATT